TAACTGATTTAACCACTCAATAAATTTCAATTTTTCTATCCATTCGGATTCTAATGTTTGATATTGTGCTGGTTGGACCACATTTGATATAACTTTGGTTGGACCATAATTGATAAGTATCTTATTGATTTAAAAAAATACATGACAATAAGTAGAAACAAATAAAAAAATGAAATAAGTAGATGTATTGACGCAGTTGTTTACGGTATAACTAGTTGTTTCATTTTTTCCTGTAAGTTTAAGTACGCGCTTTGTATCTTTCTTTGTCACCACTAAAACCGCTCTCATCATAGTTCCAAATACTTGTAATTTTTAAAACAATTATCAATTATATTTGACATGCAGGATGACGCTTCGTTTGATGCAATCTTATCTAATTTGCGTAATGCAACATTATAGTTACATCTCTCCTTAAAACATGCCTCCTCAGTAATAAAGGTTTTCCATTTTTTATTAAATGCTTTTTTTGTTTTGAGTTTTTCAAATAGTGTCGAACAATAGAAATTGTATCAACTTGTGTCAAATCATTACCCCATTTGCTGAAACACTAAATTAAATGAGTTAACAACTTTTTTAACTGATAAAATTGTTGGCCTTCTGTTTCCGAGTTGACATGCGTTTTTAATTTGATTTCAGTGAGTCAATGTTGAGTCTGGTCCATTAAATTTGAATCCACACTTTCTTAATAAAATTTCTTGCTTTCAATGATATTTCAAAGCATTTTCAACATCTTCTTTGATTTAGTTGCTGTTTGGCATTTTTTTATAGACTTAATAGAATATAATACTTTTTAGTCAAATAACTTTCTTATTTTACAACGTAATAAAATAAAAACTTATTATTATTAATAAATTCAGAATAAAAAACACAATTAGACCATATTTTTAAAGTCTTCAAAACTATTTTAAATTTAGAAATTTTTAAATTGGAAAATTTTTTTCAAATTCATGTACCAAAACACCCTTTTACTTTTACAGAGATGTCATCAAAATACTTTTACATGTTCTGTGAGAGATAGTCCTACTCTATATTAATCTGTTTTCACATTTTAGTCTAATCTAAAGTGATCGACTTGAAGTTTTTAAATAGTACAAAGTAATTGTATTTTTATCTATCAATGATTGTAAGACAGGCTTTACAATAAAAGTACGTTACAGTTTACTTTTCTACAGGATACTCATTTAAGATATAACTTCTCAAGATAAGAAACATGTCTTAAAAGGATATTAAAGTTGAATACAACCCAGCAAACACTCTATAGCGGGTTTTCAGTGGACCGATATTGTCAATTTAAGTGGACCAATGTAGTTTTGCTCATCACTTACATAGTGGACTATTAATACCAGCCACTAAAAATGGTTAGCCGATGACCGGCCACTATTATTATGACGGAAAATTATCAGCTTGCCATTTATAGCGGCTACCACTAATGGTCCACTAAGTAACCGATGAGCAAAACTATAATAAACCGCTAAAAAATGCCTAAATATATATAGGCATTTAGCGGTTTTAGCAAACATTATTTTAGTGGATTTGCAGTGGACCTATAGGTCCACTGCAAATTCACTAAAACAATATTTGCTGTGGTGTTTGCTTGGTATAATTAGGCATGGATACAAGAGGGAGGGATAATGTAGGCAATGCAGTAATCACCGTCCCCGCTAACAGACTACATTATTTTCTAATAAAAAAACATAAAAAATGATCAAATCATTTACCACATTTAAATAATAGAACAACATTAGCCTTTTCGTTGCCGTATCAATATCAAGTGAATTACAAAGTAAATTTAGTAAAATACAAATTTTATCTCGAATCTTGTAAAATATTTTTGGTACTATATTGTCCGCTTTAGTTTTCTCCAACCTAATCTGAATTAAGATTCGTCCTTACATCATTCTCAGTAAAGATGCAAGCAATAAATCTATCAATCTCAGGTTAAAAATACCTTTAAATTCTGGTATAATATTAACAAGTGTAGAATACTTATTAAATTCTTTGACTGTTCCAGTAACTAAATAAATTCTAACAATATCAATATGCTGCCTTGCTCCTAGCACAAGCAAATAATGGTTCAGAATTAAGAATTTTGTTTATTTAAAATTCATTCGTTTAATCATTAAAACTCATAATTAAAATTCATAATCAAAATTCATAATTAAAATTCATAATTAAAATTCATAAACTTCGTTTATTTAAAATTCATTCAGAACTCAGAATCTTGTTTAATATTTTAGGCTAATCTGTACTCAAAGTCAATATTTGCTTTCTTAATCAAATTTTGTATTTTATTATTATTAATAACTACTGCTGTATGTGATTTGTTTTCATGTCTCAAAATAAACTTCTTTCCCTTTTGAAAGAACAGGCCTCGTCTGTGAGTCATCAACAAGAGTTTTTATGCTTTACATTGATATCGATCAAGCGCTTTCTAACCAATGTCAGTTCTAAGTCTACATTACTAATTTCAATCTTGGGTGTTACCTTAGAATTTTTAAATCCAAATTATTTTTGTAGCTCCAGTATAATGTTAGCAAAATTGTCTCCATTATAATAGTATATGGTTCCAAAATCAGTTGTAACTATTGACTTCAAATAAATGTTAAATGTGACCATAAAATGATCAATATCTCCAAATGTATTAGGATTTAAAACAAAACTTACAAAATCGTACTCATTGCTAAAAACTAAGTCTAGAATAGCCTCAATTTTTTGGGTTTGGAAATATGTAAGAATAAAACAGTGTTTTGAAACCATTTGCAGAAAAAATAAATTCCCTTTGAAGCACTTGTTGTAGCCAGAAAAATAGAACTCTTCCAAAAATGTTGCCATCACTAGAATTACCCATCAACAACAATATGCACAGCCTTTACGTAAAACATCTCTCAGTAGATAAAGCTTCCCAGCAAACATTTCATAGCATTTTGAGCGCTCTACTGTTGTTTTGCTCATTGGTTATTTAGTGGATCGTAAATATAAGCCGCCAAATGCGGCTTGCCAATAACTAGCCAGTACTAACATGTTGGAAACCCAGCAAACATTCTAAAGCGGACTTTCAGTGGACCTATCGCTTAAAATGTTTATATAGGTCTACTAAAACAATATTTGCTGGGTATATGTATATCTCAGCAAGAATTTTTTAGCGGATTTGCAGTGGACCTATATAGGCATTTTTTAGCGGTTCATTAGATTTATTATATTTATATAAAAAAAACATTGTAGCCTGTAAGTGGGGGATAGGGATTATTGCATTTCCTATATTATCCCTCCCTATTGTATCCGTGTCTTAGTGGACCATTTGTGGCAGTCACTATAAATGGCAAGCCAATAGCTTTTCGACATATTATTAGTGGCTAGTCATCGGCCAGCCGCTTTTTTTTACTGTTTCCATCTCATTGAAAGTCTTAAATATTTAAATAAGATCTCTTTTCTGTCTATATAAAATCATAATAATAGTTATTTACCACTTTTAAACAAATTGATAAAAAATGAATAAAAACTATGGGCAACAATAAAAAAAAAAATAGAAAAATCTTATTTTTACTAGTCATACTTGATTACAAGCTGTTTGAATCACTAATACAAATGCTTTGGTCACATACCTTGAAATCAATTAGTTCGAAACCTAAAACTATTTATTACTATTATCTATTACAGTAACAAGGTTCGATGAAAATGGGGATTGTGTAGAACTATTTTGCAGGAGTACTGTTATTAATTAAATATTTATCTGCCCGTGTTGAGCGGGTGAAAAATATTACTGCGCCTACTAGCAAATTATAGCTGTTTTTTCGAGGTTTATACAGCAAGATATAAATTGATTGAATGAAAGTTTATCTAACGTTTTGTTTTTAATCCCGGTGAGAAATCGGCTAGCGAATAGCTAGCTGTATTCGTAACGATAAAGACAGCAATTTGGCCACGAGTATTGCTAGCTTTTTTAAGTTAGCGAAAAGCTATCGATATTTGTAAAGATAAAGACAGCGATTAGGCTACGAGGACTGCTAGCTTAATAAGCTAAAGACCCACTGTCTATTGTAGCTAGCGTCATATCGTAATAAAAACGTTGTTTTAAAAATTTTGATATGTAGCTACCAATCAGCTATAGATTTGTAGATAATTTTTAGCTATCTACAAAGCTACGATATGTAGTTAGCGACGCATTGCTACAAAATTGCAATGTTTAAAGTTCAATTATCTTCATAAATATAATAAACTCAACACTAAAAATCGAATTTTTAAAGCTATTAAAGACATTAGAAAAAAATAAAAATAAAAAAATAAAAAAAAAATCGCTTGAAAATCGCTATAAAGCTAGCTCTTTTCCCACCGGGATGTTTGTCTAACATTTGGTTTCAACGTTGGTATGCAACCAATAAATAGTTTTTTGTTTTCCACTTTTATTATATCTTCAGCAACAAAGTTTTTTTTAACTACAAAGTAAATTATAAATTCGTTTTTCAACTATAAAGTGTCAGCGTTTCAACGCTATTTCAACTCTGATGAGTTTCATTTTATGTTGTATAATTAATACAAGTATAAATTTCGTAAACAAAAGTTTTCAGTTAAATTTGGTTTTTTTACAATTTACAATTTACAAAAACAAATATGATTGATTTCAGGTAAAATTTGAAAATTTTATGAAAATTTTACTAATTTTTCTCTGTAAAAAAAAGATTTATAAGCTAAGAGATGGAACGCAGACGTATAAAAATAAATTGAGATGATTAAAAATGACCACTAATGATCTATTAAATACTAGCTTATTAATAAAGGTTATTTCTCAACTGAATATATAAGATTTTTCATTGATACATCAATGTTTGGTAAAAATTTGAATAAAATTTTTAAATTATGTTTTTTATTAAACCTAATAAGTTTTAAACATTGCTAACTTTGTTGCAACAACATTATTTATTCGTTCTTTCATCAGAATTGAATAACTTATTGCCATCTTTTAGAAGAATACAAGCTAGCATCTTTTAACAGAATTCTTCAATATGGCGGTTAGTGAACATATTAAATCATAAATAAACCTTTTAGAAAGATTTTATTTTAGAACCCTCATTTTTTAGAGCGCTCAAACCCTTCAATGGATTTTTTGCGTTCCTGTTGGTTTAGCAGTATCTATATGTGGATTGATTGGCAACTTTTTATCAATTTTTGTTTGGAGAAGAATTAACAATACTAAACTTCGTCAAAGTCAGTCAACTGGTATCTATTTTATAGCTTTAGCACTTTGCGACAACGGACTAATTATATTCTTTGTTTTGAAACACAGCTTAATGACGCTGTTTCCGTCACTACAGGATGAGTCTTACATTTATGCTACTTTTTATTGCTATTTTGGCTCTCCATTTTATAGCATTTTTCTCATAGCTAGTGCGTGGTTAACAGTAGCTGTTACTTTAAACAGATTTCTTATGATTATACTTCCTCTTAAAGCAAGATCGCTTTGTTCGCCAAATCGTATTTATTGGAGCATCTTTGGTTTGATAATCTTTTCATTGGTCATCAACATTCCTCAATTTCTTATTTTCAAAACTATAAGAGTGGATGAAACAAAAGTTGTGATTGTAACAACAACGTTTGGTTCATCAAAAAACTTTGAACTGTGGTTGCACTGCATTTTTGCGCTTTTAACACCATGGATACTAATTGCTGTTTTAAACACTATAGTTGTTTATTATTTGTCCGTACAACGAAAGGAACTTGAAAGAATAAACGACGACATTAAATATGGTAAGGATATGTACCTTTTATTTAAAAAGTTGTTTAAAAAAAATGGAAATACAATAATTTCTAGAAAAGACATTTTTATTTGGAGAGGAGATTAGTAAAAAACTAAAAAAAAAGAAAAATCGTTTTCTCACAAAAGTCCTAATTTTTTCTGTCTTCTAGGTTTTAGGGGATTTTATCTATGACTTAGACTCTAGATTAAACAATAAAACTAAATTTTGTAGTCATGATTTCAACAATGCTGACGCAGTTTAAATATTTCAACTATGCTGACGAAGTATTTTTTGCACAAATTATTTTGTTAAGAAGTCAAAATTAAAGTAATATTTAAAAATTATTGCTTATTAAATTATAACAATTATTTCTTTCATTTTTAGTTTTTATTATACAAACAGCCAAGGTGACCTTATGTAACATGAGGCCGGATGAAACAAAAAAACAGTTTTAGTCAGTGTTTTTGGAGTAACTGTTCAGCTTTATGTGAATAAAAATTTGAGCAAAATCGCTTAAATTTTTATTTACGTAAAGTTAAGCAATTAACTCCATAAACGCCGAGTGCTCAGCTTTACGTCAATAAAATTTTGAGCAAATTTGCTAAAGTTTTTATTCACGTATAGCTGATCAATTACTGAGTAAAAGCAATTGCTTTTTTTTTATTTACTCGGCCTATTTTCTATAATAATTTCATTTTTAGAATCGAAGTTCTCAAAAAAGTCAATTCAACAACTACGCGAGAACCAAGTTACGCGAACTCTTTTGGTTGTGACATTTACTTATCTTGTTTTCCTCGGGTTGCAATGCATTTTAAAATGTCTTTGGATATTCGAAATCGACAAAGACGTTCAAACAGGCACGTGGGAAAAGTTCTACGAATTTTGCAAGTTAAGTGTTATTATAAACTCGTCGATAAATAGCCTTTTGTATTGCTTCACAGGCACTTTATTTCGAAACGAGCTTAAAAGAATGTTTGGATGCAAGTCGGGTTTAAGGCGTGGTTCAACCACCACTACTACGAGAAATACAGAGATAAAAAAACAAATAAGTAAATAATAGAGCTTAGTTTTTTTATGCGATTCATGTAATATCATTTTGAATTCTATTGTTTTAATAAATAGTTAACTTTAACAGCTATCGTAAACATTATATTTTAATCGTAGTAAAAGTACATTTTTAAACGTTGTTTAGACGTTTACACAAACGTTTTTTATAAATCTAAAATGATTCCGTTCATAGTTTAGGGTGGCAGCCTAAAGAATTTAGATATTAGAAAACTAATTAAAATATATAATAACTTATAAATTTTACAAGTATTAGTTATAATTTATCATGTATAAGATAAATGCAAGTTTTAATGATATTAAGGCACGTTTTAACTGAAATTTTTCACTTTCAAAACGCTTTTTAACTTGATGCTTTATTTAAGACGAAGTCCACTGAACACATAAAGCTTAAAAGGTGTTTTGAAAGCTATGAAAACTAAAGGTATCCAGAACAACTTACTTTAAAAAAAAATTATAAATTTGTTAAATAAAAAAAACTGTTACCACATGAAGGACGGAAGGATAATTTACTACCCTCACTGCTTCGATTTAGAGGTTTTAGGTTGACCTAAATGGTACTCAAGATGTTTGAAAAGATATCAATACTCTGGGTGGGCATGAGATGTATTCCATTAAAAACAAAATAAAAAGCGTTCCTTTTTTGGATTTATACGCTTTTTTAAATAATCACTTTGCAAAAGAAATTTTAACTCAGTAACGGATTAAGCGTTTTTTGGTGTTTTAGATACCAAATTATAAACATAGAGTAAACTCCAAACATTTATATGTTTATACTAGTGTCAAAACAAGAAAGTTTTGTAAAAATATCGAAATATTTGGAGCCAGGGAAATAAAACCCCCTTAAAACTTGCCCCCTGCCCTAAAGGGGTGAGCAACAATTTCATAATTTTTGTTATAAACTATTCTTAACTAAATTCATATTAATTTAGAAATTTCAAATTTTATGAAAAAATTTTTCATAGTTCAAGAAATATGTCAATCTTAAATTTGTAACCCTCTCAAATTGAGGGAAGTTAAAACTTTAAATGGCCGTCATTTTTGAACGCTATAAAATTATTGCACGAAATTTAAAATTTCTTATAAAAAATGAACTTAGTTAAGAATAGTTAAAAAAAAAAATTGCTAACTCGTTGCTCTCACGATTGGGACAAGGGGGGCAAAAAGTTCGGTTTGTTATTGTTCCCAGGCTCCAATCATCCCAATAATATGCAAAACATCCTTATTTGACATAAACATATAAATGTTTGGATTTTATCTTATGTTTGGAAGTTAGCTTTCTCAAACAAAACAAAAACACAGAATCCACCCCTTGTCTTAACTATCTATAAACTTTGAAAATCACTAGAATAAAACAAATACAAACTATTAATTTTTTCAAACATTTTTTATACATGATTACTTCTTTATTTTACAATAATGCAATATTTAGTACTATATATTAAATTATTCACATTCTCATACTAGAGTAGGTTACGGACGTTTTACGAAGCTTTTCTCCATGGCATTTGCTCAGCTCTGAAGCTGCAAATCTTTTCATTGTCTTGTTAATATTTTTGCGCATAGCTTCACAGCTTTGCTCACTGAAAATTCCCAAGGGTTTGTTTTTTCTTTCAAGAAACATGACGAGGTGTGACTGTATGATGTGAAATTTCCAATCTAGACAGATTTTGTGTGTCGTGTATTCTATCAGATACTTATGCAAGTTGCACATTTCTGAGACAAATTCCTGAATATCTCTGCTGAACTCAAGAGAAAGCTTCATTCCAAAACATCCTGCTGTCACTAAAATGAACAAATTCAAAGGAATTATGTTTATAATTACTTATAAACAATAAGTGAAAAAGTAGTTAACTAATTACATACCGATTTTAAATTTCCTTAAAGTCTCAATACAGGGTATCATCAGGAGTGGAGCTATAGTTATGAGTTCATCCAAGCAAGAAATTACTTTTACAGTTAGGTCCATCAAATCCTCCTCCATTGTAACCGTGCCTAGTTACAGTTTTACCAATTAGGAATTTTTTAATTGACTCCTCAGCCATCAAAACATCTGTTATTTGTGTTACAATATGTTCAGACAAATGTAATTCAGGAGGAGGAACTATATCAATAACAAGAGTTTCTCCATATTCCTCAATTAGGCATGGTCGAACAACATTTTTATAGCTTTTCATATCCTTATTAAGTTCCTCATCCTCAATAAATTTCTGATACCAATTAGTCAAACTTTGAAAAGTCCTCAACTTTCCATTTTCGTCGTCTTTTTCACCTTCACAGTAACAGCAAGCATACTTTCCCCCGTGTGCCTTTAAGTATTAGTATTAAAAAAGACTATATATAATAAATTAAAAATTAATAAAGTAATAAAAAGCAATCACTTTTTATAAATTATCATGCAATTACACAAAATAATTAATGTTTAACTTACAGAAATGCCCAGTAAACAAATAATAAGCTTCAGGTCAGCTGCTACTGTGTATTTTAGCTCATTTAGCTTAAGTAACTTAATAAACCTCTCCAAATTATAATTACTCTCTTGTACTCCACGTACAAGACCCAAAATAAGAACTGTATTGACCCCTATATTTTTCTTTTATTTATTTATGTTTCTTTTCTCTGATTGTAGCTCTTCTTGGTTGAAGATGTTCATTATGACTTTCAGTGAACCTTAACCTCCATCAATACCAACTCTTATTAAACAATTGTAGAGGTTAAGTTTTCTGTGTACACAGAAAACTTGCAGTTTCCATTGTTGTGTGTTTGTTGAAAGCTGCATAAAACGTTTTTATAAAATTGATTTAACTGGAAAGAATTATCCTTAATAATTTTTGAGGCATTAGATTCAATACCTAGCAAAAAATACAAGAATAATTTATAAATATATAAGTAATATAAACATATACAAAACAAAGTTTATGCACATTATTGATACCTCCACGACCCAAATCTTTACGTATCTCAGTCATTATACAATCTATTGCTGACATGGGAAGATCCATTTTCTTTTTTTATATCAAATAATTTATCTGAAGATATTTCTAAAATAGGTTTATGCACATCTCCAGAGTAGAGAGCAACATGAAGGGCTTTACCACCTACAAAAAATATATGCCAAACGTTCTATTCGCTAATGTTTAACTTTAATATAAATGTATTTTATAAAAATAATAATAAATATAGATAGGTAGAGAAATATAAATACACATTTACCTGTTGCTACAGTTAGTTCGTTATTTTCAGATGTTTTATACATATCTTTTAGTACAGAGGAAATAACTTGTTGGGAGATTTTTGAGTCTTGAGAAAGAATGAGCTTATGTAGATTTTGCACTATTTCAGATTTTGTGCAAGAGTGTCTGATACCTTTACCTACCTTTTGGCAGCAATATGTGCAAAAAGATGCGTTATTTACATCTGAGGGCTTCTGCGTATTAGCAAAATCTTCAATAAATTCAGAAAGATTGATTTTTCAATGACTTCTCTTCTCTTTTGCAATACAGCAAATGGGACATGTGCATAAACTAGTATCCTGTAACCTACCTAGTTTTCGTAATAATATTCTTCCAATCTTCCACAAATCTTCTATGTTTTGAGAAACATACCCTTCATTCTAAAATTTTTTAACATAGTATTTTATATACGTTTATATATATTTACATTTTCATATATCGCAATACGTCAGCATTAATGACAAACTTTTATTTAACCTTCTTTAAATGAAGACATTTTTTACATGTTGAACAAACTCCAGATGGTAGAGAATTGATTTTCAAACAAAAGCCTGGATCCTCATATAGAATAATGAGTTCTTGTAGAGCTGGGTTGTTCTCTAATTTATGACACTTTACGTCTTAATTTAGACAGCAAAAACAAACTATATTCCTGTTTTCTTTATGAAACCTTTGTCTTGTTAAGCTCATTTTGACACAATACAAGGAGTTTTTTAATAAATCTTTAGTATAATTTTTATGTTAATATCTAAATGTAAAGTAAATTTTTAAACAGTTCTAATGCAGAATTTTTTTCAGGTCTAAAATAAAGCTAAAAATAACAACAACGGCATTTTTATATATTTGAGACAAGTGGTGGATTCTGTGTTTTTGTTTTGTTTGAGAAAGCTAACTTCCAAACATAAGACAAAATCCAAACATTTATATGTTTATGTCAAATAAGGATGTTTTCCATATTATTGGGATGATTGGAGCCTGGGAACAATAACAAACCGAACTTTTTGCCCCCCTTGTCCCAATCGTGAGAGCAACGAGTTAGCAAATTTTTTTTTTAACTATTCTTAACTAAGTTCATTTTTTATAAGAAATTTTAAATTTCGTGCAATAATTTTATAGCGTTCAAAAATGACGGCCATCTAAAGTTTTAACTTCCCTCAATTTGAGAGGGTTACAAATTTAAGATTGACATATTTCTTGAACTATGAAAAATTTTTTTCATAAAATTTGAAATTTCTAAATTAAGATGAATTTAGTTAAGAATAGTTTATAACAAAAATTATGAACTTGTTGCTCTCCCCTTTAGGGCAGGGGGCAAGTTTTAAGGGGTTTTTATTTCCCTGGCTCCAAATATTTCGATATTTTTACAAAACTTTCTTGTTTTGACACAAGTATAAACATATAAATGTTTGGAGTTTACTCTATGTTTATAATTTGGCATCTAAAACACTAAAAAACGCTTAATCCGCTGCTGAGTTAAAATTTCTTTTGCAAAGTGATTATTTAAAAAAGCGTATAAATCCAAAAAAGGAACGCTTTTTATTTTGTTTTCAATGGAATATATCTCATACCCACCCAGAGTATTGATATCTTTTCAAACATCTTGAGTACCATTTAGGTCAACCTAAAACCTCTAAATCGAAGCAGTACCCCAGAAGAGTTTATTTTTAAATGCCTCAAATCGACAAATTTTATTTATCTAAAAATATATATCTAAAAAATATATATCTAAAAATATATGTCAAATGTATCAATAAATATAAGCATTTGAGTTTGCACATTGAGCAAGTTTTGAACTATAGTTGGCAAATTGCAAATATTGAGGATCTTTTTCTTTTTTAGTATCTCTAGTTGGCAAAAAAATACATACCCCCACCCCCACCCATTAAAAACATCTTCGGGACGGCCCTGCTCCTAAACGCATATCATCGATAGCTCAATGGTTTGGACGCTGTCATCTGTTTTGGGGGTTCAACTCCGTCTATTCACGTAATAAGTTTTGAATTTTTCTCAATCTTACTGTACATATTTAAAACAAAAAAAACAAAAAAAACAATATATATATATATATATATATATATATATATATATATATATATATATATATATATATATATATATATATATATATATATATATATATATATATATATATATATTTTTATATATATATATATATATATAGTCTTATTTTATATTTATATATTATATATTTATATATTATATATATATATATATATATATATATATATATATATATATATATATATATATATATATATATATATATATATATATATATATATATATATATATATATATATATATATATATATATATATATATATATATATATATATATATATATATATATATATATATATATATATATATATATATATATATATATATATAGCAATAAGACTTTTAATTGTTAATATAAAAAATTTAAACTTGAGCTAGCTATTTTTTTACGGATAATTTTTTTTTCCAACCTCCACAGAAGTACTTTCTAGACTAGCAGGACGGGCTTATTAAATATTTCTTTATTAAGTTTTAGATCATTATTTTTTTTCAGAACATCTACAGCTTATAAGCAACAATTACCTACAGTCGTATTCGCATCTCCCCGCACCACAGTGGGCCAGAATGGCCAATTTTGAGACAAAATTAATAACTAATTTAATATTAGTGCTACATTCACTATATTTAGCATGAGTACCAATATAAAGTTAGAGTTTCTAATGAAGGTGTTATTTTTAATTTAGTTGCTATGGATACCTATTTTTTTGCATAGCAACAATCTACTTTTTGTAGGTGCAGATTTGTTATGTGTGCTATATACACTAAATTTGGCATGAGCACCAGTGTAAGGTCTACGCCTCTTATTAAGATGTTATTTTTTATTTAGTTGCTAAGGATGCCGAAAATTTGCATAGCAACGATCTACTTTTTTTTTTTTTTGGTTGCTATGGATACTTATTTTGGCGTAGGATAAACCTACTTGTAGTTGTTTTTGTGTGTCATACCCACTAAATTTGGTAAGAGAACCAATACAAAATAATTGCTTAAATAAATCTTCATTAAATTTGATACGGTCACACTTGCGTGTAAAATGCTCACAATACTTTTTAAAATCTTTCTTCCGAACCTCTATAGCTTCTTCACTTAAGAGCCCAATTGGTAATGTCATGTAATCAACAACACTGGGAGCATGAATTAGCATTTTGTGAATGCTCTGCGGCATATTATACCGTGGATATCTCTGCACGTAAAACCTAGCTGTATGTGTACAGTATTCCCTGAATAAAACTGCATCAAGCTCAAAACCACATGAAATACAAGTCAGAACAACATGGAACATTTTTATAAGTTCAAAATTGAGTCCTGTGATTTCAGAAAACAGTTGTTCATTCTGAAAGGCTCTTCTGGAGGTGTTGCCATTATTAGATGTTCCTGAGCCGCCAGCCTTAGGGCTATCGACAATCAGTCCAATCTTCTCTTGAAAAGCAAGTTGAATTTTTTTCTTTTGAATTTCGATTTGTTGCTTGTCAGCTGGTAATCTTGCTGACCATTTCTTAACTGGCAATTTGTAAGCAATATGGGTTAAGCATTTGAATGTAAATATGCATGTAGAATTAAAATCCCATATTGTAATCTATTTTTAGTGTGCAAGTTCAGTAACACCTGTAATAAATAAAAACTGAATTTTAAACTAATCAAATATAAAAAGGTATGCAAATATATATATATATATATATATATATATATATATATATATATATATATATATATATATATATATATATATATATATATATATATATATATATATATATATAGGGCCGCCAAGAGGGAGGGGGGCAATTGAAGTAGTTTGCCCCGGGCATCACAGTCTTTGGGGCATCACATGCCTTAAAAAAAAAATTATTGAAATGATAAAAAATATAGCTGATAACGTATTTAAAGATTAAGCAATTTTTGTGTATTAATTTCTTTCTCCTTTTAAACATTGTTTGCATTTAAAATAGGATAATTATTACTTTATAAGGTTTTCATTATCCATTTGAACGCACGCGTTTTCATTGGCCTTTCGTTCGCATGATAGAATAAAAAGCGTTAAAAATTTTTTTTTCTTATTTAACGTTTGTAAAAGCCTGACTTCTGATAGTTTAACTTATTTTGCTTAAACCTTGCGTCCCTGTAGATACTTTTGTGCATATGTATGTTTTTGACTCGCCTGCATTTTGTTTCGACTATATTTTGACAAAAAACTTATCTTCAGTGGATATTTTAATTGTAAGTACTGACTTTTTCTCTGCAATTAATAACACCAAAGTATTATAAAGTTTTTAATTTTTAAAATTTAAAATGTTAAAATTCTTTATATCGTCATAAGTTTTAGGATGAATAATCAAAAACCTCCACTATTGAAACAGCTGTCTGGAGCTGCTGGGAGAAAAAAAGCGATGATTCGGAAAAAAAACGAAAGCAAAAACAAACGAACGCTTTTAGATTGCGTTTGTTGGACAAAAATCGAAGATAAATGCAAGCATTAGTTAAACTATTTTTTAATCTTGTGACGTTCATAAAAAAATAATTAGAATAATTCTGTTTAATACTTCTTTATAGTTCAATGATATTGAGATCGGTATCAATGACTTTAATGAGTTGCCAGACGATAATTCCGACAAACTTTTTCTTGTCGATGACATCGATGATTCCCAAAAAACATCATCACATTTAAAAAAGGATCAGTTGGATTTTGTACTTGGTTGTCACAATGACCAACAAATTTATAAAAGTGATCTTTCTATACCAATCTCTAACGATCCTGCACTATGGAAATCAATATCAGACACTGATCGAACGAATATAATTCTGATGGGACCTTCTTCAAATCCTAGCAATTTTCCAAGAGATCAAAAAGAACACAAATTCCCTACTTATATCTTTTTAGAGGAACAAAGAAACGGAGAAAAAGTTAAAAGAGATTGGCTCGTTTGGAGTAAGGCTGTGGCATCACTCTTTTGTTTCCCTTGCTCCCTTTTTGGATCGCCTAACTTAACCAGACCCGGTGTTTAATCCAGTTTGTTGTCTTGTAATACATACATGGAATTTGGAGAAAACTTTCAGATCGCGTTAAAAGTCATCAACAAAGCGATTTTCACCGTAACTGTTATCGTAATGGAAAACAGCTACGATTCACTTGAAAAGTCAAAAGTCCATTGAGCATCAGTTAGAAAAACAAATTGGAAATGAAACAAAGCGATGGAAAGTAATTTTACAATGCATTCTTGACGTCACAATTTTTCTAGCCTCAAGAAACTTAGCTTTTAGGGGTAAAAATATTGTTTTTAAATTTTAAATTATATTTTGCATTATTTTATTTGTAGTTTAAAAATCAAAATTACAAGTTTTAATTGGATATAAATATAGATTACTATTTTGATTATTTTTTGTTTGTAATTAGGATCCAATCAAAAGTTGTTCAAAAATGGGAATGGAAACTTCCTTGGAGCGCTCGAATTAATTGCACGCCACAACAAAACATTACAAGATCATATGCATCTTATTGCTAAGCACCAAGAAAAAGAAAAACGCATGCAAGCTCATTATTTATCTTGGAAATCACAAAATGAATTTATCAAGGAATGCGGCAAATTAGTGGTTCGAGAAGTTATTCGAGAAATCAAAAAATCAATATATTTCACCATCATCACGGACAGCACACCCGATTCGTCCCACAGCGAGCAAATAACTTTTGTTTTTCGTTTTTTGCATTTCAATGATAATCAGCTGTGGGAGGTCAAAGAAAGATTCCTTAAGTTAGAAGAACTTGAAAAGAAGAAGGTATCTGATATAACAAAGTTGATATTGAATGTGTTGGAAGAGAATGAGCTCGACATAAACAATTGTCGTGGTCAAGGCTAAGACAACGGTGCTAATATGGCAGGTATTTACAATGGAGTTCAAGCTTTGATAAGACAGCAATTTTCATTCCTTGCTCTGCTCACAGTTTGAACTTTTCCACAAGCAATTTTCATTCCTTGCTCTGCTCACAGTTTGAACTTATAAGCAGTACATGCTATTGAATCATCGGCTCCTGAAAAATCCTATTTTGGAAATATTCAAAAGCTATACAATCTGTTCAGCAGCAGCCCAGTTCGTTGGAAAATTCTTCAGGAGGAGACAGGCCAATCATTACATAAACTTTCTGTTACACGATGGAGTTCAAGGATTGAATCAGTTAAGCCACTAGCAAAAAAGCCAATAGAGATCTTGAAATCATTATATCGTCTAAAAGAGTTAGACCTTCCAGGCGAAAGTAGTAATGAAGTGCATTATCTCATTAAATGGATGAATTCTTTTAAATTTGTTGTTTTCACTACTTTTTGGTTTAAATGTTTGATGGCAGTTAACAGCGTGAGTCTTCAGCTTCAGTCCACTCAACTCACTCTCGATGATGAAGTAAAGATTCTAAATGGCCTTTTGATGGATCTGGATAGAATCCGTTTGTCTTGGGACCTGATTTTGATAGAGGCAAAGAACTTGAAATTTGATAAAATAATGTTTACTGTGAAGAGAACGCGAAAAAAGATCATCTCAGATGAAACTGCTGGTTACCACCACGAAGAAGCATCAAAAAACTTTGAGTGTAATGTCTTCAATGTTGCACTCGACAATCTGACTAGTCAAATGAGATCAAGATTTAAAGTAATAGAAGAGGAATGTAGCAAGTTTACCTTCCTTTGGTCTTTACAGAAATCTCAAACAGACCAAGAACTAGGCTTAAAAGCTGAGAATCTGGCGTAACTTTACCCAGAAGACTTATGTAAAAACGAATTTTCTGATAAAGTTTGGCATTTTTTTTCCGTAAGAAGAAATATTCTAGCCAGCGAAAAGCCTGTCGAAATTCTAAATGAAGTTTATGCAAAGGGGCTGCATTCAATATTTCCGCAAGTGTGTGTTTCTCTTAGAATCTTTCTAACATTGCCCGTTTCAACATCTGAAGGAGAAAGATCTTTTAGCAAGTTAGCTATCATCAAAGATTATCTTCGTTCCACAATGTGCCAGGAGCGATTGTGCTACTTGATGATCCTTTCAATCGAATCAGATTTAGCCATTAACGTTAATTATGAAGAAGTTATTTCAAATTTTGCTGCTAAGAAGGCCCGGAAGATGTGTTTGTCAATTAAGAATTGATTTTATCATAGTTTGTTCTTGCAAACCAAAATTAAATGTGATTTAAGGTTTTTTATGAAAGTAAACTATATTAAATTATTTGCTATTTTAAGACCTGAAGTATGATAGGGCATCCATTAAACTTTTGGACCCGGGCATTACAAAAGCTCTGGGCGGGCCTATATATATATATATATATATATATATATATATATATATATATATATATATATATATATATATATATATATATATATATATATATATATATATATATATATATATATACATATTTTTTGTACCTATATTTAAGTAGCATTCCCTAGTAGCAAACAATATTGGCGTAATATTGGCACGATATTGGGTATCTTGGCTTATCTTGGCCAAGATATCCGATTTTGCGCCAATATTGTCAAGCAATATTACGCCAATATTGTCTTACCAATGTTGGCAAACAATATTGCGCCAATATTATCCATTATCGTTTTACTGATATTGTTATGCCAATATTGGCGAAATATTGCGCCAATATTATATTATTGAAAAATCGCCAATATTATATTATTGGCGAAATATTGCGCCAATATTATTATCCCACTAACGATTTACTGATATTGTTATGCCAATATTGGCGAAATATTGTTTGCCAATATTGGCTTTTTGTTAAATTTTACATATTCGTACGCATGCGTAACATTAAGGAATGTTCATAAAGTCCTTTAGTTTTGTTAAATGTGTTTAAATGTAAATAATAGCATCTTCTTTCTTAAACAGGCATCCTTGTGTTATTAATTTTTTTACAAAAATAAATAAGAGTTCAAAATAAAAATATTAATTTATGAAATAAGAAGAATTAGGAAAAGTATTTTTGATTCAACATTTACAAAGTGAATCAGGAGAAAAAGTGTTGGTAATTTATTTTGAAACAGATTGTATCACGAGAAGAAGTGGTAAGAATAGTAAAATTCTTTGATTCAACATTTACGGATTGATTTGAATAAGAAGGTTGTAATTGATTTTAAACATATTGCATCACGATAAGAATAGGAAAAATATTGCTATACTTAAATATCAAGATTAAAATAGTTTACTCATAAATGAAAACACTTTGAGAAGATTGCATCTATAAAATATAAGTTTTATAGTCTATTTATTTAATTAAAGATATTAGTTCATGAAATAAATACGTAATTATTACTGTTTCTAACTATTATAAGATTTAAATTTGCGAAAAAGGTACCCCTGCTTGACACACACACACACACACACATATATATACTAATATATATATATATATATATATATATATATATATATATATATATATATATATATATATATATATATATATATATATATATATATATATATATATATATATGTATATATATATATATATATATATATATATGTATATATATATATATATATATTTATATATATATATATATATATATATATATATATATATATATATATATATATATATACATACAGGCGCGGATCTAAGGGGTGGCCATTGTGGCCATGGCCACATAGTTTAAAATTAGATAGATTTATTAGAAAGTTTATATATTTTTTATCAAAGATCTTTTGAAACTTTTAGAAATAATTATTGAAATATTTTTGAAGATATGTTATTGAAAAAGAATATAAGCAATTTTAAGACTTTTTTCGTCTAGTGGTTATTGATAAACTACGTCACGCTAAATTTAAATTTCAAAAACTTCGCGGTAAACATTGCTAAAATCTCTGCAAAAGAGAGTCAAACTCTCCGTGACGTACTTTATGGAAACCCTTAACAGCTTATGGCCATAGAGATTAAATTTAACGGCAGCCAACTTAGCTTCGGATTTTTTTGCTAGAGGAAAATCCCTGAAAATTTCATTGTGTCTGCCGTAATTTAAGGAATTTGGCCATAGAGATTCCTGCCATGGCCACAACGGTTCCTATTACACGTTACCGACGTTTTATTCTATCAATAAATGCTTTGAAATAAATTATAAAATATAGATCTCTCAACCGTGAAAATAAAACTTGGCCACAAAGTTGTTTTTAACGTGTCCGATTTAGAAAAATATTCTGTTAAATAGAAGCTAATAACTTAGGGTTTTTTATTCGCTACCGTGAAATCATCATTAGTGTCGAAATTAAGATAACGTGATTATTTAATTACTTGATTATTTAAATATTATAAAACATGAATCCTTATTTAAATATAGAATTAGTTGCTTATGCAATAGGAACAAAACATGCTTTTTGCCTATGATAAGTCTAAAATTACAAAACTAGACTCATTAAAGAGCTTTCGGAATTGAATTTAATGTTTCCAAGAATACAGGATTCTTACCAATTTAACACAGATATGATGGATTTTGTACCCTTAACTAAAAGAACTCTTGGTTATACAGCATTAAGGTATTTTTTGTTTGTTTTAAAAAATAATATTACAAAATGGACCTACATCTATGTTGGATTTTAACTTTATTTATTGGTGTTTAACTAATTATTAACACATTTTACTACAGATTTATATTCTTGATAATGTGTATGAAATTGAATTATTAAACACACAAATAAACTATAAAAGTAATTTAGTTTTTTAATGAGAAATTATGGTATTTACTAAAATGTTATATTAATAAAAAAAAATATAATATTTAATCTATTTTTGTTTTGTTATTACACTTTTGTTACTACACTTTAGTATATTATACTTGTTATTCAATTTGAATATATTTTACTATTTCTCTCAGGTCTACTAAACATGTAAATTGTCTTTATAGCTCAGTATCTTTGATTTTAAATGACAGTAAACATACTTCAAAAATTCTAAGATTACTGACATTAATTGAATTATTTGAAAGCATAAATTTTTACACATAGTATGATTATTTTTTTCAACATAGATTTAGAATTCTCAGCTTTCTAAACTTGTTTTTTATTGCTGTTTCGTTTAAATACACTGACAGTTTTTCAACAATTAACGATAAAAATATTTCTGAATGTCATCTTTCCTTTGCCTAATAGCATTATATAATGTTATAAAGCAACCTATTAAACCTATCTATGCTGATATTGGTTTCAAAAAGTAATCGTAAATCATAATTTTTTAATACCCTTATAAAGCCTTGCATCCAAAAATTAAATTGTCCAATTAATATTTTGTTGTGCAATTTAGATAAAACAAAAAATAAAAGTGTTTTATGCTTTAAGCCAAATTATTTTGTGGCACTGGTTAAATATCTTCCCAAAAAATGACCAGCTGTTGTTATAAGTGATTCAAATTTACTCAGGATCAAAAAATATAAATTTTTAAGTCATCATATCATCTGTGTGGTGAAAAATTAAAATCAGGAACAAATGATAATGAAATGTTATCTCTAATAAATAGTCTAAGTTCCAGATAAATGCTTCTAATTCCCTTTAACAGGTAAAAGCAGAAAAAGACATTTTCTGCTAAAATGATTAGTTGACTTTTCTTTGCTTACTTTAAAATTTTACTCTAAAATTGAAGATGGTGCATATTGTCTACCATATACACTTTTTGGTACAAACATACCAAACAAATATGCATTATGTAAATTGTTTAAAAAACCATTCAATACCTGACGTAATGCTATAAAAGATTTAAATGATCACAAGAAAAATGTTGACAGATTACATATCAATCCATACATTGTTATAATATGCTTTTATCTAGAACTAAAATTAACACTTTTCCTATTGAAGTTTTTCAAGATATTTCTAGGAAGTAGCATATAGAAGAAAACAAAAAAAAAGCTTGAATCAATTGTTAAGACTATATTATTTTTAGGTCGAAATGATATACCTCTACAAGGTCATAGAGACGATAGAAAATATCAAGGAGAAATTGGAGAAACTTCAAATATTACAGGGATGGGTAATTTTATTGAGCTTTTAAACTTTAGAGTTGATGCAAGTGATTTAATTCTAAAGGAATCTTCTCTCTGCTCCCAAAAATTCTACATACATTTCAAAGATCATTCAAAACGAGTTAATTAAGTGTTGTGGAAATGCAATTGAAGAAATTCTATTAAATGATATTAAAAAAAGTAAGTACTTCTCCATTATTGCACACTAGGCTTCAGTGTCACCCTTGAAAATAAATCTTTTGATATTTCCCAGCAACTGAATGAAATTCAAAATTAGACTAATCGTTTAAAAGAAATAAGAAGAAATGCTGATGCTTACCATAACAAATGGTATAAAATTGCTCTTGCATTGGCTAAAACATTTGATATTGATGGAAAAAAACCTAGAGCATGTGGTGTTCAAAAGCATATAGATAATTAAATATGTGATACTGTATCTGATAGTTTAAAGCTCCTATTACATTGCCTCTTCTTAATCATCTTCTTAATGAACTATATATATAAATAAAATTGGTTTGATATTGAGAGCTTAATTGTTTATAATGGTCTTTGTGCTATTCCTGCTAGTTTAATAAAGTAAATTTTTAGATATTGTCCATGGAAAGAAAAGTTCCTGACATTTTTGAATTTTTGTAAATCTGATCTTCCTCATTTCTCATCAATTAATGCTGAATTAGAGTTATGGGCGGAAATTTTGGAATGAAAAGACAGAATTACCATCTACTATTTCAGATACATTTAAGTTTAGGGATATGAGAGGCTTTCCAAACATTTTAGAGGCATTTCATATACTTGCTACAATACCAATCACAACTTGTTAGTGTGAAAGGTCAATATCTACTCTTAGGAGAATAAAAACTTACACGAGAGTAAGATGTCAGAAAATAGATTGAATGGACTTACTTTAATGTCTATTTAATGTTATTGAAATATTTGCATCCAAAGGAGACAAAAAATTAAAGTTTTTATTCAAATAAAAATTTTGAATTTCTGAGTAAAAAATTTAAGTACTGTTTTAAAAGTATCACGTAAATGTAAATAATTTCTCAATAGCAAAATATTTCTAGTCATTGTTTTAAACATGTAAACTGTGAAAATCATTTTTCATTAGCTAATTATTACTATTCATTGTTTTATATAAACTGTGAAACTCATACTTCATTTGCTATTTCTTTTAATTCCTAATGTTGAAAGTGTTTTCATGTGATTTAGGTTGTTACTTTTTTGATTGTTACTTTATTTGTTGTATTATATTTTGTCTTGTTTATTTATTTATTAAAATTTATTTAAAAAAAGTAAAAAAAATTTTTTTAATGTTTTAAAAATATTTGTACATAACTGCCTATCACAAAAAAAAATAATCCAGAAATAGTGGGCTAACCTTAGGCAACACGACAGTTTACTGATGGAGTGCAAAGTCCTATGGCTTACCTTCTCGTAGGTGCACTTCGTTAAGTGATTTAGACAAGTACTATGTCTAATTTATGAACTAAATAGCCAAGGCAATATTTTGAATAACTTTATTATTAAATGGATAACTAAAAACAATACAAAATAAACTTTACCACGATTGACTCGATTGTTTAGAATAACTTTGCATTAGCAGAATATTGTCAAACAAACACGAAGTAAATAGATTTCAATTACAAGTAAAAAGTGAAATATCTGATATACAAGTCGACTCCTCATATATAACATTTTTTTACCTATAATGTATTTTATTATTTTATGTAATAATTAATAATTTTAAAAATGTATGCGTTTTTGAATTACACAATTGTTTAGAGAGTTTATTTCTAACGAGAAATATCAAAATTAAGTGTTTTTTTTATTCATACAGAAAGCTATTTCTACTGAATAAGAATAAAATATGGTAAAATTTTTGTAAGTCTATGTATATAATATGAATGATCTCTTATTAATTTTATTAGATTCTTTATATAAAAATTCGTCGAAGACGAATTCGTCGCTCATTTCGTCTACAACAGAACAGCAAAGTTTTTAGTCTCAAGCGTGAAAACTATTATACTTATTGTAATAATGGCGCTCTCAGATTATTAAATCTAGAGTAGTTAAGTAAAGTAGGTTAGTCTCCCTACGTATTAAAGT